AAGAAGAAGAAGAAGAAGAAGAAGAAGAAGAAGAAGAAGAAGAAGAAATAATCAAATTCAGGGCCGAAATAAATAAATTAGAAAAAGAGAACAATACAAAGAATCATCAAAACCAAGAGTTGTTTCTTTGAGAAAATCAACAAGATAGACAAACCATAGCCAAAAATAACTAAAAAACAGAGAATACCCAAATTAATAAAACCAGAAATGAAAAGGGGGACATAACAACAGACACTGAGGAAATCCAAAGAATCATTAGGTCTACCTCACAAGCCTGTATTCCACAAAATTGAAAATCTAAAGGAAATAGATTATTTTCTTTGATATATTTCACCTACCAAAGTTAAATCAAGAGCAGGTAAACAGTTTAAACAGCCCTCTAACCCCTAAGGAAATAGAAGCAGCCATCAAAAGTCTCCCAACCAAAAAATGCCCACGGTCAGATGGTTTTAGTATGGAATTCTACCAGACTTTCAAAGAAGAGCTAACACCAATGCTCTTCAAACTATTCTACAATATAGAAACAGAAGGAATATTATCAAACTCATTCTATGAAACCACAGTCACCCTGATACATAAACCAAACAAAGACTCAACAAAGAAATAAAATTTCAGACCAATCTCCCTTATGAACATTGGTGCAAAAATACTCAATAAAGTACTTGCAAACCAAATTCAAGAATACATCAAACACATCATGCATCATGATCAAGTAGGCTTCATCCCAGGGATAGTTGAACATACTATCCATCAACGTAATCCACCATATAAACAAACTGAAAGAAAAAAATCACATGATCATCTCACTAGGAGCATAAAAAAGCCTTTGACAAAATCCAACACCCCCTTCATGAATAAAGCCTTGAAGAGATTAGGGATACAAGGGCTATACCTAAACTTAGTAAAGGCTATATACAGCAAGCCTATAGCCAACATCAAACTAAATGGAGAGAAATGCAAAGAAATCCCACTAAAATCAAGAACAAGACAATGTTGCCCACTCTGTCAATATCTCCTCAATATAGTACTAGAAATTCTAGCTAGGGCAATAAGATAACTAGAGGAGATCAAAAGGATACAAAGTGGAAAGAAAGACTTAAAGTATCGGTATTTACAGATGATATAATAGTGTAATTAAGCGACCCTAAAAATTCTACCAGGACACTCCTACAGCTGATAAATTCCTTCAGCAAAGTAGCTGGATATAAGATTAATTCAAAAAAGCCAGTAGCCCTCCTGTATACAAATAACAAACAGGCCAAGAAAGAAATTAGGGAAATCACACCCTTCACAATAGCCACAAATAATATAAAGTATCTAGGGGTAACGCTAACCAAGGAAGTCAAAGACCTGTATGACAAGAATTTCAAGTCTCTGAAGAAAGAAACCAAAGAAGATACCAAAATATGGAAAGACCTCCCATGCTCATGAACTGGTAGGATTAACATAGTAAAAATGGCCATCTTACCAAAGGCAATCTACAGATTCAATGCAATCCCCATCTAAATACCAACACAAATTTTGACTGACCTTTAAAAAACAATTCTAAACTTCAAATGGAAAAACATGAAATGCAGAATAGCTAAAACAATCTCATACAATAAAAGAACTTCTGGAGGTAGCTCCATACCTGACCTCAAGCTATACTACAGAGCAATAGTAATAAAAGCTGCATGGTACTGACATAGAAATAGGCTGGATAAACAATGGAATTGAACTGAAGACCCAAAAATAAACCCACACATCTATGCACACAAGATTTTTGACAAAGAAATCAAAACCATACAATGAAAAAAAAGACAGCATCTTCAACAAATGGTGCTAGTCTAACTGGATGTCTACATGCAGAAAAATAGATCCGTATTTATCACCCTTCACAAAACTCAAGTCCGGGTAGACCAAAGACCTCAACATAAAACCAGATACACTAAATCTGCTAGAGGAGAAAGTGGATAAGAACCTTGATCATTGACACAGGAGACAACTTCCTGGACAGAACACCAACAGCTCAGGCTCTAAGATCTACAATTAATAGTGGGACCTTGAAATTGAAAAGTTTCTCTAAAGCAAAAGACACTGTCAATAGAATGAAAGGGGGGGCCTACAGATTGGGAAAAATCTTAACCAATCTTACATCCAACAAAGGACTATATATCCAGAATATATAAAGAACTCAAGAAATTAAACACCAACAAACCAAATAATCCAATTGAAAAGTGGGATACAGAGTTAAACAGAGAATTCTCATCAGAGGAATCTTGAATGGTGGAGAAATATAAATGCTCAACATACTTACTCATCAGGGAAATACAATAAAAACAACTCTGAGATTCCATCTTACATCTGTCAGAATGTCTAAGATCAAAAACTCAAGTGACAACACAGGCTGAAGAGGATGTAGAGAAAAGGGAACCCTTCTCCATTGCTGTTGTGAGTGCAAACTTGTACACCTACTTTGGAAATCAGTCTGCCACTTTCTCAGAAGACTGGGAACAGCGTACTTCAAAACTGAGCTATACCACTCCTGGGCATACACTTGAAAGATGCTCCACCATACAACAAGGACATTTGCTCAACCATGTTCATAGCAGCTTTATTCCTAATAGCCAGAAACTAGGAACAACCCAGATTTCCCTCAACCAAAGAACGGATAAATAACCTGTGGTATATTTACCCAATGGAATACTACTCAGCCATTAAAAACAAGGAAATCATGAAATTTGCAGGCAAGTGGATGGAACTAGAAAAGCTCATCCTGAGTGGGGTAACACAGACCCAGAAAGACTAACATAGTATATGCTCACTTATAAGTGGGTTTTAGTCATATAGTACAAGTTAGACATACTACAATGCATAGACCCCAAGAATATAAGCCTGATAAGCATCTTAGGCTTCATGTGGTTAGGGAAGTAGGGCATATCTCTGACACAGACTATGTTGCCTGCTTTTTTATCACTTCCCTCTGATGAGACTTCCATATCAGCCCACACAGGAGGAAGACAAACTCCATTCTCACGTGAATAGATGAGCTGGGGTGTCTGGGTAGAATAGGGGCCTCCCCTATTCTGAGGAATAAGGAAGGGGGAGTGCAGAAGGGAGGGAGAGACTGTGAGCAAAGGAGAGAGGGCCTATGACCAAGATTTAAATTGAATTAATTAATAAAAGATAAAATAAATTAGCCAAAAAAGAAAAAAGAAAGAAAAGTTCAACCTCTTTAGCCATCAGAGAAATGCAAATCAAAACAACACTGAGATTCTATCTTATGCTCATTAGAATAGCTAACATCAAAAACTCAAGGCAAGGATATGGAGTAAGGGGAATACTCCTCCATTGCTGGTGGAAGTGCAAGCTTGCACAACCACTTTGGTAATCCACCTAGCACTTTCTCAGAAAATCGGGAATAGCTCTACCTCAAGACCCAGCTTTACTACTTCTGGGCATATACCCAAAGTTTATTGCACCATACCACAGGACACTTGCTCAACTATGTTCATTGCTGCTTTATTTGTAATTGCCAGGAACTGGAAACAACCTAGATGTCCCTTGGCTGAAGAATGGATAAAGAAAATGTAGTACATTTACACAATGGAATACTACTCAGCTATTAAAAAAAACAATGACATCATGAAATTTGCAGGCAAATGGATGGAACTAGAAGAGATATCCTGAGTGAGGTAACCCAGACCTAGAAAGACAAACATGGTATGTGCTTACTTGTAAGTAAATATTAGCCATAAAGTACAGGATAACCATGTTACAATCTACAGAACCAAAGTTATTAAGTATCAAGGCGGGATGTGTGAATCTCACTGAGAAGGGAAAATAGAATAGACATCATGAATGGTTTGGGGGGAGAGGACTGGATGTGGCTGGGGTGAGGGCAGGCACAAAAGGAATCAGGGAGGGGGAGGATGGAGAGAGCGGGTACTGTGAGAGACAACTGGAATGGGAGGATCATCTCTGGGATAAGCTAGAAACCTTAAGGCAATGGAAACTCCCAAAAAGCTATAAAGATGACTTCTAGCAATGGGGGATATTGAGCCTGAACCAGCTATCTTCTGTAAGAAGGCAAGACTTCCATTGGAGGGACTGGGACACCACCCCAGCTACAAAACCTTCAACTTACAATTCGTCTTGCTTATGAGATATGCAGAAGTAAAGACGAAACAGAAACCGAGAGAATGGCCAGCCAATGACTGGTCCAGCTTGAGACCCTTGCCACAAGAGGGAGCCCACTAATGACACTGTTAGTGGTACTCTGCTATATTTGCAGACAGGAGCCTAGCATAACTGTCATCAGAGAGGCTTCACCCAGCAACTGATGGGAACAGATGCAGAGACCCACAG